GCGGGGAGCTGAAGGGGCTCTGCGCGATACGAAACCAGCCAGGTCATCTCCCTCCTCTGTTCAATTTCCCGGGGTACACAGTGCGGAAAGTCAGAACAAGCAGAGAGGAGACGATCAACGAAAAAGTTTGGAGCTTCGACTTTGTGCCTGGCGCTAGGGACGTGGCCCCGCTCAAGCCTCGTGAAGTGTACTGCCCAGTAGGGGAAGCAGAACTGGAGCGTTAGGTCAACAAGCCTGACCCAGTAGGTGAGAGGGGGTGTCAGGGAAGTGAGAGAGCACAGGGGGCCCTTCGGGGTATCGGAAGTACCTCCCCGGCGCGGGGAGCCCTCTCAGGATACTCCCATGAGAAGGCTGGTAGTGAGTGCCCTGGGCTAGTCATGGACTCCAGAGGGAACAGAGAACTGTAGAAAGATGTGGGTTTTGTGCAAGAGAAGACAGTCCAGAACCATTCTCCACGCTTTCAGTCTGAATGGATAGCTCCTGCTATTTACTGACATGGAGAACACTGGAAAATTGCGGGTAAGGGTTGGGGGCTGTTAGATGGGGAGGATCAAGTAAGATGGAAACTTAAGAAATTTTCTTCCTCCCTCATTTACTGTATTACACTTGAAGCCAACCCAGTGAAGTCGTTTTCTACCCTGTCCTTCAAAGCCCTCCCTCTGAAGATACACATCCAATGATCTGATATCAGAGACTTAACATTCATCCATCAGGTATTTACTGAGCACCTGCTATACGTATGCACTGTGGGAGGTGCTTGGGATATATCAGTCAACAAAAGAAATTCTGTCCTCACATCAAGTAGGCAGAGGGCAGAGGGGAAAGCACAGAACTCTAGACAACAAACATACTACCTAAGCAAATAAGTGCATTAGAGGTGGTGAGTTCTATCAAGGGAGAAGGTGGAGGCAGGAGAAGATCACCGGCCAGAGCGGGGAGCAAAATGCAGTGTAAATAGTGTGGCCAGATACATTTGTCTGCTAGGACTGCCATAACGAAGTACCGCACACTGGGGTGGTTTGCACAACAGAAATTTACTTTCTCACAACTCTGGACACTAGGCATCCAAGAACACCAGTCATATTGGATTAGGGTCCACCACAATGACCTCATTTTAACTTAATTCCCTCTTTAAAGACCTGTCTCCAGATACAGTCACATTCTGAGGTACTGAGGGGTTAGAACTTCAACATATCAATTCAGGAAGGACACCATTCAGCCCAGAACTATCAGGGTAGGTGTCGCTGAGGACATGAGATACAAAGATCAAAGGAGGTAAGGGAATTGAGCTAGAGCTAAAAGTCAGGATCATGGCTGACACATTTGCAGAACAGGAAGGCCCATGTGGACTGAGCAAGAGGAGACAGTTGTAGGAGAAGCGGTCATGGAGATAAGGGGAGGAGGGGGCTGGGTCGTGTAGGACTTGTGGGTCATTCTAAGGGCCTTGGGTTTGACTTTGAGTGAGATGGGGGCCACATCAGGGTTTTAAGCAGAGATCTGATCTGATTTACATTTTGAAAGGCCACTCTGGCCATGGTGCTAAAAAGAGATGGAGAAGGAACCATGGCAGAAGCACAGAGGCCTGTTAGGAGGATGTTGCAGAGATTTAGATGGGAGACCACGGCCTGAACCAGGTGGTAGTGGTGGATGTAACAGACCCATAAAGGATGTATTTTCAAAGTAGAGCCCACTAGATTTCCTGATGGATTATTATAAGGAGCCAGAGAGGAGTAAGTGATGACCCCAAGGCTATTGGCCTGAGCAACTGGAAGGATGAAGTAACCACCAGCTGAGATGGGGAAGGGGAAAAGTGGAACAGCATTGGGTGAAACGTCAGAGGTTAGTTTTAGACTCATGGAACCTGAGATGTCTGTTAGATACTCCAGTGAGGATGTAAAGTAGACAGTTGGATATGAGTCTGGAGTTTGAAAGTGAGTCCTGAGCTAGAGATGTAAGTGTGGACACCATGCCTACGTATATACTTGCAGCTGTAGGACTGACAAGATCATAGGAAGGGAGTGGATCAACGCCTGATGCCTGGGCCCTCCAGCATCATTCTGGAGTTCCATGAGGGCCCCCAAGGATGAAGGCCACCACACAACGCTGTTATAATTCAGGGGTCTGGCAGCTCTTCCAGTCCTGTCAGTGGTTGTTTGGCAGCTAAAGGGCTGGTGTTGGGACCTCTCACTGATGCTGGCAGTGTCATCCTATGTTCAGATCACACAACCCATACTAATGTCTGTGCCCCTTGAACATTACATAATGTCAGCTTCCATCTTACAGGGGCTTGGGTCTTCTCAGGGAATCTTTCTTCTTTTTTTGGAGTCAGGGTCTCACTCAGCCCAGGGTGGAGTAGAGTGGCATGAACACGGCTTTACCTTCCTTTACTTCCTGGATTCAGATGGTCCTTCTACCTCAGCCTCCTGAGTAGCTGGGACTACAGGTGTGCACCACCATTCCTGGCCAATTTTTTTTCTCTTTTGTAGAGACAAGTTCTCGCTATGTTGCCCAGGCTGGCCTCGAACTTCTGGGCTCAAGCAATCCTCCTGCCTTGGCCTCCCGAAGTGCTGGGATTACAGGTGTAAGCCACAGCACCTGGCCTGGAACCTTCCTTCTTGAAAGAAGGAGTTCTTGGAACCCAGAACATCTTACTAAGGGGATGGTGCCATCAGCTTTCCTAAGGGCCCACAGCTGCAGCTAGGGTATGGCAGGTACAAAGGCAGTGACGTGGCAAATGCAGTTTGTAAGGCAGCTCTGCAAGACATCCCTCTCTTGCCTCTGGACCTTTTCTGCCTTTCTCCCCTGGTCTGTTTCCCTTCCCTTCTCTTGGTTCCCTTCTCTAGGTCCATCTAGCTCTTGTGGAACTTCTGCCTTTGAGCTTGTATAGCCACCCAGCCTTCCATTATCCACCCTTCTTTGAATTCCCAGCCCTGCTCCTTGTACCCTGTCATCTTCTGCATTGCCTCAGATCTTTCGTTTCGTGTGTTTTCTCATCTTATGAACTCCTAGAGGACACAAGAGGAAAAGAGCTGATATTAACTGACCACCTTATAAGATACTGCAGGGATCCCCAAACCCTGGGCCACCTATATCAGTACCTGGACTGTTAGGAACCTGGCACACAGCAACAGGTAGGCGGGTGAGCAGACATCCATCTTCTGTCAGATCAGCAGCAGCATTAGATTCTCATAGGAGCACAAACTCTATTATGAACTCCATGTCTGAGGGAATCTAGGTTTTGCTCCTTATGACAATCTAATGTCTGATGATCCCCACTCCTGTCCATGGAAAAATTGTCTTCCACGAAACTGCCTTGATACCAAAAAGGTTGGGGACTACTGAACTAATGCATTCCTTTCCTGTGGCTTTTGTAACATACTACCATAAACATAAACAATGCAAATGTAAATGATACAATACAAATGTATTCTCCTTTAGCTCTGGAGATCAGAAGTCCAAAATGGTTTGGCAGGGCTGTGTTCCCTCTGGACGTTCTGGGAACAGTCTCTTTCCTTGCCTTTTCCAGCTTTTAGAGGTTGCTCACATTCCTTAGCCCATGGTTCCACATTGCTCCAACCTCTGCTTCTGTGGTCACATCGCCTTCTCTGACGCTCTCACTCCAGCCTCTTTCTTATAATGCAATTGCAATTGTACTGGGACTAGAATAGTCTCTCGACCTCAAAATCTCAACTTGGTCACATCTGCCAATCCCTTTTGCCTTGTAGGTAACATAGTCACAAATTCCAGGGATTAGGATGTGGATATCTTTGAGGGGCTATTTTTGTACCCACCACAGCTAAGTATTGCTCTTGGTGCTTCACGTGTGTTTTCTTTAGTCCTTTCAGTGCCCTTTGAAGTAGACTATCTGGTGTTCAGATGAGGGTCTGGCTGAGAGAGCGCATAGCTCACCAGGTCCTACTTCATGGTTGATGTAGGAGAGAAGCTGGGATCTGAGCCTCACATGACACCATCCACTATTCTGCCCCCCAGAAACCCTTTCTGAGTCTTGCACATCCACGCAGCCCCTCACACAAGTTATGTTGGTTTTCTGCAGCTGCTGTAGCAAAGTACCCAACCAGGCATGGCAGCTCATGCCGAAGTGCAGTAATACTAGCACTTTCGGAGTTGGAGACAAGAGGATCGTTTGATCCTAGGAGTTCAAGACCAGCCTGGGCAACATAGAGAGACTTCATCTCTACAAAAAATAAAATTAGAAAAAATTAGTTCTAATTTTTGGTGACATATGCGTATAGTGCCAGCTACTTGGGAGACTGATGCGAGAAGATCACTTGAGCCCAGGAGTTGGAGGCTGCAGTGAGCTGTGATCGTGCCACTGCACTCCAACCTGGGCAACAGAGTAAGACTCCAACTCAAAAAAAACCCACACAAACTTGGATTAAGCAACAGAATTTTGTCTCAGGTCTGGAGGCTAGAAGTCCAAAATCAAAGTGTCAGCAAAGTTGGTTCCTTATGAGGGTTGTGAGGAAAGGGCATGTTCCAGGTCTCTCTCCTTGGCTTGTGGATGGCCTCCCTGTGTCTCTTCACATTGTCTTTCCTGTATGCATTGTCTGTGTCCAATTTTCTCCTTTTTACGACACCAGTTGAATTGGTTAGGACCCACCCTAATGACTTCATTTTAATTTGATTACTTCTGTAAAGACCCTCTCTCCAAATACCGTCACAACATAAGGTACTGGGGGTCAGAACTCCAACATAACTGTTTTGGGCAGATACCACTTCACCTATGCTTTGCTTTGTGCCAAAGGCTTTTGCATCCTGAAGGTAATTTGTGGCCTCCCCTGGTTTATATGTTCAGCTGGGACAATGTGTTTTTTGCCAGCCAGCAGAAGCTACTTTTTATCCTTACAGTTCTCATGCCATTTCATGTTCTTCTCCAGACCTTAAGTGTGGTGCTTAATTCAAAACAGGTCATTTCTGCAGATATTTAATTTACTCCTCTAAACCATACCTCCTAGATTTTAGTATTTCATTTCTAACCTGGAATAACCCACAGTACACTGACCTGTGATCGTCAGATTCTTAACTGGTATTGCACTGAGTGAAGATAAATAAAATGTAACTACTGTTGTCAGATTGTTTTAAGACATGTGGATGTCTCTTTGCCAGGGGGTTGAGATTTAGAGTTCCTTACCTCAACAACACCCTTGAGAGGTAAGAAAAGGCAGTTTGTTAACCTGTCCAAGATAGAGAAGGGATAGAACCCAGAGAAAGACCAGCTAATGTGGAGTCTAGCTGAGTGGAGTAAAAAAAATAATTAAAATCTTAGGCCTGGCCAGGTGTGGTGGCTCACATCTATAATCCCAGCACTTTGGGAGACTGAGGTGAGAGGATTGCCTGAGCCCACAGTTTTGAGACCAGCCTGAGCAACTTGGCAAGACCTCGACTCGACAATAAATCAAAAAATTAGCTGGGCGTGGTGGCACGTGCTCTTAATTCCAGCTACTTGGAAGGCTGTGGTGGAAGGATCACCTAAGCCCAGCAGGTTGAGACTGCAGTGGCCGTGAGCATGCCACTGCACTTCAGCCTGGGCAACAGAGTGAGACTCCAACTGGGAGAAAAAAAAAAAAAAATCTTAGGTCTGTTGAATAGATGACAACGTCAGAATGACAAGTCAGGTTTGGTCATTGCAGTGGGCAGTCCTTCAGGCAGAAGAGCAAGCCAAGGATTCTTCTTGACTTTGAATGCACCTGTGCAGATACAGGAGGCTGGAGGTCTAGACACATCTCTCTTTGGAGTACATCTGTGCAGCCCGGTCGACCTGGATTCTTCTTTTTTTTAATGGTTTTATACAAAATAATTTAAAATTTTTGTTTGTTTTTACAAATAATTTCTTCCACAATATTCTTAGTAATCCAGTTTATCTCCTTAACTGTTTTTCGTTCATTAGAAATTTTTTAAATTGTAGTAAAATATATATAACATAAGATGTATCCTTTTGACAATTTGGTAAGTGTACAGTTCAGGGGTACTAAGTATACTCACATTGTTGTACCTGGGACCTCCTCTTAAGTGTGTAAAACCCTTTCGTATGCCTCACACCCGCCTCCTCCAATCCCCACCTTGGTCTGTGGAACGAGTCCAACTTGCCAGAGAGCCCTTATAATAGAGAATGATACTTGAGAACATTGTGTTGTGTGAAAGAAGCCAGTTGTAAAAGGACTTCACTTATATGATTTCACTCATATGAGGTCCTAGAGTTGTCAGCTTCATAGTCAGCTTCTTAGTTGTTGCTAGGGGGTAGGAGGAGGCAGGAGTTATTGTTTAATCAGTATAGAGTTTCAGAGAAGAAAAACCGTTCTGGAGATGAACGGTAGTGATGGGTGCACAACACTGAGTGTACTTCATACTCTTGAACTGAACACTTAAAAATGGTTAAGATGGTGATTTTATGTGTATTTTGCCACAATTAACAATATTAATTACAAAGTAGTAAAAAATAACTAAAAGTGTTGTAAAATTTAAGTTGTTCTTATTTAACATAAACAATAATAACATAAACAACAAAATGTCTCTGATAATTTATGACTCAGTACACCTCTTTAGATGTGCCTTGAGATTGGATCTCTGTTGTTACTTATCAAAGAAGGTTCAATGTGTATTTCCCCAAGTGTATTGCTCAGGGTTGTCCAGAGAAACAGAACCAATAGGATATCTATAGATATATAGGAAGAGACCTACTATAGGGGATTGGCTTATGTGGATGGTAAGAAGTCCCACGGTCTGCTGTCTGCGAGCTGGAGGCCCTGGAAAGCTAGTGGTATAGTTCTAGTCTGACTCTGAAGGCCTGAGAACCAGGAGTATCAGTGTCTGGTTTCCATGAACTTGAGAAACATGGATGTCCTAGCTCACGCAGAGAGTGAATTTGTTCTTCCTCTGCCTTTTTGCTTTATTCAGGCCCTCAACAGATTGAATGATGCCCACCCAAATTAGGGAGGACAAATCTTTACTCAGTCTACCAGTTCAAATGAGAATCTCTTTCGGAAATATCCTCACAGATGCACCCAGAAATCATGTTTTACCAGCTCTCTGAGCATCCCTGAGCCCAGTCAAGTTGACACATAAAATTAACCATCACACTACTAGACTTGGTGGCTCAGCCTGTAATCCCAGCACTTTTAGAGGCTGAAGTGAGTAGATTGCCTGAGCCTGCAGGTTTGAGACCACCCTGGGCAACGTGGCAAGACCTCGTCTCTACAATAAATAAATTAGCTGGGTGTGGTAGTATGTGCCTGTAGTTCTGGATACTTGGAAAGCTGAGGTGGAAGGATCACCATGAGCCCAGCAGGTCGATGCTAGGGTGGCCGTGAGTGTGCCACTGCACTCCAGCCTGGGCAATAGAATGAAACTCCAACTCAAAAAAAAATTTAAAAAAATTACCATCACACTAAGAATGAGACCATAGAGCTAATATTTTAGGAACTTGAAGATTATTCAGCATTCTGTCTTACACTTGACATTTCATTACTTCTCTGCTTTCTTGTTTCTTTTTCAGGAGAGGAGTTCATTACTTCGGAAGTGGTATGATTTAATGATACAAAATAAGGATGATCTTGCCAAAATAATCACAGCTGAAAGTGTAAGTACAGGGTCCTGGCTCGATATTCTAAAAAATTGTCCAGGAATTTTTAGAGCCTCTGACTTCCCATCAGTGCTGTCTATAGCTAAAGAATATATGGTAACTCATCTACTGATCAAGTAACAAATCATTATTGTGCCAAGGCACTCAAATTTTCTAAAATAAAATTTGTATATTCTAGTTTATTCTCTAATAATATCCAAAAATAGATTTTGTTGGAACTATATGAATACTGCTTTTTCACCATTTCAGTGGTGGTGTTTTTTTCTATGTGACTTTCTTGGTTGATTTTTCATGCTTCATACATTTTTAAATGTACCAATAGTTCCTCCATAGCTATAGTAAATTATTGCATTATGGTTGCAACATTTTGGAGATATTGGAAGGAGGAAAAAAAATAGAATATGCAGTTCTAGGTGTCTTCTAATTTGTAAACTTGAGAATGCAAATGACTCTTGTGGCTTAGGGTGATACAGCCATGCTTAATATCCATCATTGTAACTCAGCTTTCTAAAACTCACACCAAAGCTAGAAATTTCCCAACAACCCTGTGGGTTTTGTAATGAGAGACCTTTCTACTCTTCTTGGAGCTTTGGAGAATTTAGAAACACAGAGTCATGCTTTTATTATTAGAAGGTAATAAGTGGGTTCTTTCCTGATTTAATTTAGGGAAAACCATTGAAGGAGGCCCAGGGAGAAGTTCTTTATTCCGCCCTTTTCTTAGAGTGGTTTTCAGAGGAAGCCCGCCGGATCTATGGAGACATTATTTATACCCCAGCAAAGGACAAGAGGGCCCTGGTCCTCAAGCAGCCCCTGGGTGTGGCTGCAGTCATCACCCCAGTAAGTATAGGTTCAGCAAGTTCTTATGGTAGGAGGTTGGGCTGGGCGTCAGGAAACATTTCATTCTTACTGGTGAACAGGTGTGCTCATCCTGTTTGCCTTGTCTGTTCTCAGTGTCCTCATGCCTTTACAGGATGCAGAGGTGTGTTTCTGGGTCCTCTGTGATAATGTTAGGTGTGATGACAGCGAATGGGCGTATATGTGTGCTAATGCCTGCAGAAGTGGGATGACCCACAGGAGGACCCAGGGATTTTCTGACTTGGCATGAGGGCTTATCTCTGGCATTGCCTGGCACCTCTACAAAGATTTCCTGGTATTTATCATTTTTATAAAGACTTAAGATGTGCCACATTTTTAAATGTGCCATAGTTTGGAAAAAAACGTATGCTTAATTTTTGGTTACCATCAATAGCAAAACATTTGTGGACCTACCATCAGGTACTAGGCCAGTTCTGCAGGTAAAAAGGCTAAGAAATAATGTCTGCCTGGCTGGGGCTGCAGTATATTTGTGGGGCACCCAGCTTTCTTTCTCGGTGACTAGCCTTTCCTGGACCTACCTTCTATTAATACTAGGTTCCATAGCAACTTTTCTCTAATATCTGCCAACTGGTTTCAAGACCGCTGTTCTTTCTCTGCTCAGAATATTTACAGATAGAATTCCCTTATCACCTAGACTGACTAGATTTGACTTGGAGCTGTGTGATCTTAGGCAAGTTACTTAACTGCACTGACTTAATTTCCTCAAACTTGCAAATGAGGATAATCATACCAACTTCACTGGGTCGTGATAAGGCCTTATTTCATTATAATTTGAAAGTGCTTAGCACAATACCTGATACAGAATAAGCACTATATGAATGCCAAAGCACTGTTATTATAGATATAAAATGTCTGTAAATATCTACAAATATGTATGTAAAGGGAAGTAATAAATCAACTGCCATTTTCAAAATCACCATTGCTAATATTTTCTCCCAAGGGCCTCAGGTCAAATCCAGCCTGCTGCCTATGCTTGTAAATAAAGTTTTATTGGGACACAGCCATACCTGTTCATGTCTATACTGTCTGTGACTGCTTTCATAATGCAGCTGCATAATTGAGTAGTTGTAACAGAACCCATCTGTCCTACAAAGCCTAAAAATTTTACTATCTGGCCCTTTATTTTTAAAACAGTTGGCTGATCCCTTGTCTGAATAATTTTATGCTTTTATTTTTTAATTTATATTTATTTTTTTGAGGTGGAGTCTCACTCTGCTGCCCAGGCTGGAGTGCAGTGGCAGGATCATGGCTCACCACAGTCTCAACCTCCTAGGTTCAGGAGATCCTTCTGCCTCAGCCTTCTGAGTAGTTGGGAATACAGATATGCTCCACTATACCTAATTTTTTTTATTTTTCATTTTTATTGCTTTTTAAGTCAAAGTCTCACTCTGTTGCCCAGGCTGGAGTACAGTGGCACGATCACAGCTACTGCAATCTTGACCTGCTAGGCTCAGGTGATCCTTCCACCTCAACCTCAGCTTCCGGAGTAACTGGGACTACAGGCCCACACCACCGAACCCAACTAATTTTTTAATTTATAGAGATACGATCTGGCCAAGTTGCCCAGGCTGGTCTCTAACTCCTGGGCTCAGTCAATGCTCTTACCTCTGCTTCCCAAAGTGCTGGGATTATAGATGTGAACCACCACGCCCAGTTTAATTTTTTAATTTTTTGTAAAGATGATGTCTTGCTATGTTGTCTAGGATGGTCTTGAACTCCTGGGCTCAAGCAGTCCTCTTGCCTCAGACTCCCAAAGTGTTAGGATTATGGGCATCAGCCACCATGCCCAGCCAATTTTGAACTTTTAAATTCTGAAAATGCTTCCTTTCTTTATGAGCCTTTATCTTCCGAGTCCCTCTAGTAGGCGAGGTCAGGTATTGAGAGCTCATCTGTGCTGCCAGAGAACAGGTTTGCCAGTCAATTATGCAATGAAATTTGTTGTCTGACTTTCTAACCTGCCCTTCTTCTGGACTAATGAGGCAGTCCTTCCTCTCACATACCCCCTCTGCTCTTCTGACCTCAGTGGAATTTCCCCAGCGCCATGATCACCCGGAAGGTGGGGGCTGCCCTAGCAGCTGGGTGCACAGTGGTGGTGAAACCTGCAGAAGACACACCCTTCTCTGCCCTGGCCCTGGCTGAGGTGAGCCACTCTCTCTGAGTTTGTGCAGAGCTCTGTCAAAGTCCAAAAATGGATTTTTAAATTGATTTTTATCAGAAAGCCGTTTCGGAGTCTCCTTCTTTGTCTATGCTTCCTGCTGCATGGTGTTGTGTTTTAATCTCCTGGCAATTGTTTAAAGACAGATGTTGCTCTTTAAAAAAAAGAAGAGGGAATTTTCTGACTTCTGTAGGCCATGTATTTTTTAGCCCACCACAAAAGTAATTAAATAGGCACTAAAATGTGGGCATTCCTCACATTTAGGAAACCACTTATTTACCAGTCTTGTGGACAGTTCAGTTTGCGTTCCATCAGATTTTGTCATTCTTCCGTTTGAAACCCTCAGTGGCTTCTCATGTCCCCTAGAGTAGTCCAGTCACCCCCACACGCACCTCTCTTAGCACCCCTCTGACCTTGTCCATCCTCCCAGAGTCCATCATTCATCATTCATCCGCCTGGGCCACTCTGGCCCCGGCCACTCCCTGGACCCCACCAGCCTCGCCCTTGGCTTAATACTTTTCCCGATTTCTGGAACACTCTCCTCTGGATACTTCCATGACTTGCTTCTTCATGTCTTTACTCAAATGCACCTTCTTAGGGAGGCCTTCCATGGCCACTCTGTAAAAATCACAGCCTCACACTCTGATGCACTTGATCCCCTTCTCTGCTTTGTTTGTTCCACATCGCACTGTATGCCACCTACCCTAGCACTGTTCCTAGGCCTTTTCAGTGGGCAGGGTTAAGGGATACGTACATACACACACACACACACACACACACACACACACACACACACACACGAAACTGCATAAAGTCCTATAGAAACTTCCAATTCAGATTTAGTCCTACAGGGTTTGCACTTAACCTCTTCTGTATTATATCTGCATCTCCTCCTTTCCTGGTTCCCAAGGACTCAGGAGATACTGAATTATGTTGAATTAATATCCATAGTTACTTTTACACACACAACAGTTTCTGAATATTAATTTTAATATCATCATCACCAATATGCCTACTGGCAATGGTTTAATTTTTGGTGTGTTTTCTCTCTCCATTTTCTCATTTTTACTAATAAACTTTTTATTGTATAATAGTTTTACATTTGCAGTGATAAATAGAGGTATTTTTCACATACTCCACATTCAATTTCTCCTAATATTAGTATCTTACATTTGTTACAATTAATGGACCAATATTGATACATCATTACTGACTAAAGTTCATGCTCTAAAATCACTTCTAGGATTTCATTAGTTTCTTTCTTTCTTTCTTTCTTTTTGAGATCAAGTCTTGTTCTAGTCACCCAGGCTGGAGTGCAGTGGCTCAATTATAACTCACTGCAGCCTTGAACTCCCGGGCTCAAGCAGTCCTCCTGCCTCAGCCTCCCAAAGTGCTGGGAGTGTAGGCATGAGTCACCATGCCCCGGGGATTTCATGAGTTTTACCTAATGTCCTTTTTCTGTTTCAGGATCCCATTCATGGTATCACATTACATTTAGTTGTCATGTCTTCTTAAGGACCTCTTGGCTATGACAATTTCCCCATATTTTAAAATCATTGACATCGTATCTGCATTGCTAAGACTGCAACCATTACATATTCTACTTTTAATCCTTTTTAAAACTTAGTTCAACTTGCAGCTGTATCTTTATTCCTCAACCCCAGTGCTTTCTAGTCATTTGGTTGTCTGGACCATATTCTCTAGTAGATTCCTCCATAAGGGTTCATGAGAACACTATTTCCAGTTAATAATATTGACAGTACCGGGCTCAGTGGCTCAGCCTGTAATCCTGCGCTTTGGGAGGCTGAGGTGAGTAGATTGCCTGAGCCCGCGGGTTCGAGACCCGCCTGGGCAACTTGGTGAGACCTCATCTCTATAACAAATAAAAAAAAAATGAGCCGGGCGTGGTAGCGCGCGCCTGTAGTTCCAGCTACTCGGAAGGCTGAGGCGGAAGGATCGCCGGAGCCCAGCAGGTTGAGGCTGCAATGGCCGGGAGCAGCCACTGCACTCCAGTCTGAGCGACCAAGTGAGACTCCAACTCAAAAAATAATAATAATAACAATAATAATAATAATAATATTGACAGTTGTCTGTACCCCTTGATGCTTGTAAATCACTTTTTTTTTCTGAGTATAAAATTTTTGGATCACATTTTTTTAATTTAAATATTTTAAATATATTCTCCATTTTCTTCTGATATGCAGTATTGTTTTTGAATAGTCTGATAATAACCTAAGTTTTCTGCCTTTATAAATCAATTTTTTCCTTTTGAATAGGTACCTAGAAGTGGTGATTTGTTTTTTTTCTTTTATGCTTAAAGACCAGTAATATCCCTAGAATATGTCTTTGCAGTGATTGTTTTGGGTCCGTATTCTAGGTATGCAGCACACTCTTTCAATATGTAGTTTCCGGTCTTTTTTTTTTTTAATCTCTGTAAAGTTTTCAAGATTTGTTCTTCTTCCTTGGTTTGGTTTCTTCCTTAAGAAACCCTGTTATCCATGGGTTGAAAGTGAAAGTTTTTACACTTTCTCTTGCATCCTTTTCATCTCTTCCCTACTTTTAAAAATTATTTTTCTTTTTACCTATTTTTTTAAAGATTTGTATGTTGTGTTTACCCTTTTTTGCGTTCCCTCTAGTTTGGTCTTCATTTCTGAAATAATTTTTCCTTTTATTTCTAATTCCTTCCTATATTTCCTTGTCTCACTCTAAATTATTCTAGCTCTTATTAATGTTGGTGTTCTTTTGTGTCTCAGGATAGTTTTTTTTATCATCTTGTACCTTGTTTTGAAATAGTAAGTTACAGTTTGGTTCTGTTTTGTGGGCATGCCTTTCTGAGATGCTTTTGTCGTCTACAGGAATGTTATTTTACTGCTTATTCCCTTTTTTTTTCTTTTAACAACTTTGAATGGGATTTTACCTCGCTGTTGTTCTGATAATTTTGTTTTATTTTATGTGAAGTCTTCTTGAACTTTTAGAAGGCCTAGTTAGAAATAGTATCTCTACCTTCACAGACTACCTCTTGCTTTTTTGTGTGTTGTGTTCAAAGACAAGGCAACCTGCTTTCTGAGATTCCCTGGCTCTGTTCCCTTCCCTGGCTTTATCTGGGCCTTCTCCTCCTTCACTGCATAGTTCCCAGAGGCTGGACCGTCCCTGCCCGTCAGTCCTGATTGTGGCATCCCTCTTAGGCCCTCCCACCTACAGCTGCTGTTCTCAGATTGGACCCCTGTGGGCTATTTGGGGTTCTGTGTCATGGGGTCCATCAGGCAGCCCGTTGCTGCCCTCTGCTTCTCTCACACAGGTGCTGATAGGACGCTCAGGTCTTGTTGCTTTAGGTGGTGTAGCCTCACCCTCTTGTAATTCGTGGTTTGTGGAGGTACCTTGTCATCTAGTCTTGTGGTAAATGATTGTGGTAATTACCTTGTTGTCAATGTCTCTGATATTTTGATTTTGCTATCTAACTGCCCTTTTTATGAGAGAATTTAGAGAGATTTTAAAACTCTGCAGCTACCGTCATCTTCCCAGAATCCTCAGTCAGGTTTATGTAACAAGTTCATTGCTAACGGATTCCAAAACTTAAAATAATTCAAGGTATGCTTTAGCCAAAGAAAATCTCCAAGGAAAACATGTTTCCAGGCCAGCAGCTCTGGGTCAGTATGCTGGTTCTGTTACCCCGTAGCATGGGGTCTCAGCTGGATTCTTCTCTTCGTGCCTGCCTTTCCTCGTCGCTACCCTCGAAAAGAACCCATGGAAAGGCTTTCCCCCACTGCCCGTCCCCTAATAGGTTCTCACTAAATGCTCCTCTCCACTTTCCTGCCCTTGATTCTACTGGTGAATCAGATAACATTTTTCTTAGAATCTCCTCTGATTTTGGGGGGAAAGAAATTCAAGATATTTGTGTTTGGTTGTTTGAACAGAAGGTGGCATTGAAATGCATACTTTTAAGAAAAAAATTTTGGGCAAACCCCTCTGGTCCCCTCCCACTGTGGGAGCTTTTCTGTCCTCGTAATAAATCCTGCTTTCTAAAAAAAAAAAGAAAAGAAAAGAAAAGAAAAAACTTTTTTCTAGACCAGCAGGTTGAGGCTGAGGTAACCGTGAGCGTGCTGCTACTACACTCCAGCCTGGATGACGGAGTGAAACTCCACCTTAAAAAATAAAATAAATAAAATAAATAAATAAATGTGGGGAGCCTGAATTTCATTCTGTCACCCAGGCTGCAGTGCAGTGACACAATCATGGCTCACCACAGCCTTGACCTCCTGGGCTCAGGTAATCTTTCTGCCTCAGCCTCCCAAGTACCTGGGACTACAGGTGTGCACCACCACACCCAGCTAACTTTTTTCTTTTTTATTGAGATGAGGTCTCTCTGTGGTGCTCAGGTTGGTCTCAAACTCCTGGATCTCCTGCCTTGTCCTCCCAAAGTGCTGGAATTATAGGCATAAGCCACCATGCCCAGCCAGAAATTTTATTTGGATGATGTTTACCAACCTTTTAATATTAATGTCACTTTACTACTAGTAAGAATCACAGCTCAGTTCCAAATATATTCTTATTCTATCCCCAAGTTCAGCTTAGTTTTTTTGTTTGTTTGTTTTTCATTACTTTTTGGATTAAACTTCTATTTATTTATTGTTTCTGTTTTTTTCAGTTTGATAATTTGCTGCTACATGTTTGCTGTTTCTTCTTATAGCTTGCAAACCAGGCTGGAATACCTCCAGGCATATACAATGTTATTCCCTGCTCCCGAAAGAATGCCAGAGAAGTAGGGGAGGTGCTTTGCACTGATCCTCTGGTGTCCAAAATTTCCTTTACTGGCTCAACAGCTACAGGAAAGGTATGTGAGTGAAGTCTCAAAAGAAAACAAATATCATTCTAATATTTTGTCTTTATAGAGTACAAAAATACTATTTTATCCCGATCACTGTTTTTAGAAAGATTTCCAGCAGAGTGGTGAAAGCTGTGTTGAATAAAGTGATGTCTGATCATCCACTGGAGATATTTTGGACAGTGTTCCTTCTGTGGCTTGACATGGGTTCCTGGATGACAGTACCTAAGTAGTTGGGGCATCAAGGGTCTCATTATTTTCTCATTTTTTGTTATATGTGAAATGGCTGAAAGCTATTCATTTTATTTCTTCAATTCTGGAATGCATATTTCTTTCATAATCTAGAATTAGAGATTCCAGAAACAAAATTGATGTTGAAATCGATGTTCTAGAATTGAACAGAAATGGTATTTAGTATTAAAGTACTTACAGAAATAGAAAGGTCTTTTTTTTTTAGATTTTTTTCCCCTTAAATGTTGAAAAGTTCTTTCCTCAAAACTTCATGTGCGCAAGGAAAAAAAAAAAACTTCTTATGTGTGCCTGTAAGTAAAACGTTTATTTAACCTTTTTAATGTCCAAAGGAGAAAAATGTCAAGGTAGAACCGAAGTTTTTGTTTATGGTGTTTCTCTTCAAAGGTGTACATTTTTCTACTAATTGAATATATACATAGATACATATATGTATCTATCTATATTTGTACTATTAATATACATAAACACACAACAAATAAAAACAATATAAATCTAACCTGAAAGTTTTTGTGAAATTTTGTCTTTTTTTTTTTTTTTTTGAATTGGAGTCTCACTCTGTCGCTCAGGTTGGAGTACTGTGGCACACTCACGGCCACTGCAGCCTCTACCTGCTGGGTTCAGGTGATCCTTCCAGCTCAGCCTTCCAAGTAGGTGAAACTACAGTCACACACCATCTTGCTCGGCTACCTATGGTCATTTTTAGAACCCATGCAAAGCAAGAAGGAATAAATAAAGCAGTTTAATACCTCCCAACCATAATCACTTTTTTCTTGCCATAAACTCATATTCAGGAAAAAGCACTTTGGAATCTTACCATTCATTCATGCCAGAAACAGAAATTCTTAGGTCTATAAACTGCTATGCCCCTAATCAATAGGTGTCATGCTTGAAGAGATTCAAATGTTGCTGTGAAGTAGGTAGAGAAAAAGAGGCCTGGGAGAAAGGATTGTAAAACCTTTGCCTTGTAAGCCAGAGAAATTCACAGGATACTGGGGAAAAGACAGCAATTCATTCGTTGCATTTCCTTAGTTTTCTCATCATCTCCAGGAAAATGTCAGCCATGTTCCCACCAAGTCCAGCTTTGCTTCTGTTTGCCCAGGACAGTAATCTAGGTAATTGCACCTTAAGTGACTTAAAGGGAAGAGTGGCAAGAATAGCTAAAAGAATGCTAATCTACATGGCGAGGCCCTCTTCTGAGGTGATCTTCACAGAGAACCTGACTGAGCCTTTGGTCCTGGGCCATAGAGCCTTGCCTCAGAACAGAAGTGTGCACTGCAAGGCTGTTCTAGAGAGGCTTGCTCCGCCCTCACACCTTTCTAGGGGTGCCACCCTCCTGGGGATCTGCAGAGGGGACAGCAACTTTCGTTTTATGGCACATGACACCTCATCTCTTCCCCCACAGAGAAATGAACTATGAGCAGTCACTGACTAGAGAGAAACAGAAGGGGTAGGCCAGACAGTGACCTAGGACAATGGCCTGGATAGAATGGTGAGCCGGGTCGATCACGTTCTGTCTTTGGAGGCTGAGCTCCAGGAGGTCAGCAGTGGGAACTGGAGCTGAAACTATTCATTAAGAGGTGACAGGAGTGGCAAGCCATTATCATGAGGAAGCAGAGGCTGAGTGAGAAGACACTGTCAGAGGGCACAGAGCCAGTGCACATGGAGGGACAGACTGTGCCTAAGACCAGGTGGAGGCAGAATAGAGTGACCCAACAGTGAGATACTGTTTTACAAATTCAGGGGCAAATTCAAGAAAGGTCAATTGCCTGGCAGATGGTACTTCTCTAAAATTCCAAAAGAAAATAACTGCATTGAATGCAATGAAGAAATCTGTTTCGCCAGGCATGCTGGCTCACGCTTGAAATCCCAGCACTTTGGGAGCCTGAGGCAAGAGGATTGCCTGAGGCCAGGAGTTGGAGACCAGTCTGGGCAACTTGGCAAAACCTCGTCTCTACAATAAATCAAAAAATTAGCCAGTGATGGTGGTGCACACCTGTAGTCCCAGCTACTCTTGGGAGGCTGAGGTGAAAGATCACCTAAACCCAGCAGGTCAAGGCTGCAGTAGCCAGGATCATGCCACTGCACTCCAGCCTGTGTGACAGAGTGAAACCCTGACTCAAAGCAAACAAACAAGCAAACAAAATCTGTTTAATCTACTTGTACTACTTTGTTGAATAGTAACATTTCAGTGAGAAGATGGTTACATCCATCTGATTGCTGGAATATGAACATCTGGATATATAGAGAAATACTGGCACAGGTTCAGCTTTCTAGCCATTCTGTGTTTTTTGGTTTTTGGCTTGTTGTTGTTTGTTTGTTTGTTTTTGAGTTGGAGTCTCACTCTGTTGCTTAGGCTGGAGTGCAGTAGCACAATCACATCAACAGCCTTGACCTCCTGGCTCCAGGTGATCCTTCCTCCCTGGCTTTACAGTAGCTGAGACTATAGGCGTCCCAGCATGCCCGATTTATTGTAAAGATGAGGTCTCTCTATGTTGCCCAGGCTGGTCTTGAACTCTTGGGCTCAGGCAATTCTCTCTGAAGACTATCCTAGAGCCATTTTGGGCTTGTGAGTACTGTCCGTTGCACTCAAGCTGTCTCAAGTGGTTCTATCTTTCCTGCAGCCATGACTGGACAAAGACCTACAATCCAATAGTAAAGCATATAAACATCCCTGAACAGCTTTCTTAGGCCATTAAATATCTTACTAGATATTTAAAGCCTAATAATTATGTGTTTCCAAAGCCTTACAATTGTGCATCAAACTAACAGTTCAACAAATGTATACTGAAGGAATAAATTCCAGCATCGTTTTTAATAGGAGGGAATTGGAAACAACCTAAATGTCCAAGAGATGAGGGCTGACAAATAAATTGTGGAATAGCCATGCAATGGAACACGATGCAGGCATCAAAAGGGATGTTCTAGACACATGCATGCTGACATGAGGAAATCTTCACATTATAATGATACATTAAAGGAGCGAGGTATAAAATGTTATGAATGTGTTAAGATGTTCCAGATGTATGGTTTTTGTTTTTGTTTTTTCTTAGCCAGTTTAGTCTAATATCACAGGCATATGGTTAGTTGAGCAGATAAAGCAGGTTACAGAGATGTATAATTATATAATTACAAGATCCTGTTCTTTTTTTAAAAAAATACTTGTACATGAACCCGCACAGCCACATTTTAAATAGACATACCTTATAATGTTATCAGTGGAAAGTTGTGGGATTCTGGATGATTTTATTACCTTATCTTTATATTATAATTTTAAGCCTAGCATATAATTTTTGTACATAGATAATACATGTAAATGGTTAAAAAAAAATCAAGACTGCACTGGCATGTTTACCTTGAGAAGTCTCACTGCCTGCCTGTCCCTGACTCCCTCTTCTCTCCTTTCTATAATTACTGTAAGTTTTTTGTTTCCTTCCCAGTGTTTATCAAATGTGAGCAAAATAAACATGTATTCTTTTTCTACTCTTTTCTGATACGACAAATTATCCCAGATATGCTACTGTGCACCTTGCTTTTTTCACTATTGGGTAAATTTTTTTTCTCATATTCTGTTTGTGTAGGGTCATTTTTTAAAACAGAAGTTTAACAGTCCTGGTTGTCCATTTCTGTGCTCACAGCACTCTCTTTTGCTTATAGGTCTTGTTGCATCATGCAGCAAACTCTGTGAAAAGGGTCTCCATGGAGCTGGGTGGCCTTGCTCCATTCATAGTGTTTGACAGTGCCAACGTGGACCAGGCTGTGGCAGGGGCACTGGCATCTAAATTTAGGAACTCTGGACAGGTGAGTCCTGTACAGTTTTTCAGGGTATGTGTGTATTTTACAAAGATCCTACCATTTCCACTGCCTTATTCATCTCCTGGAAGGAAACTTTTTGACCCCTTTCATCATTCATTATTTATTGACTCTTTCAGTAATATTTTTTTGAGTTCAGGTTCCACTCTGCTGCCCAGGCGAGTGGGCAGTGGCACCATCATGACTCACTACAGCAAGACCCCCTGGGCTCAGGCAGTCCCCCCACTTCAGCCTCCTGAGTAGATGGGACTACAGGCATGTGCCACCATGTCCAGCTAATTTTTTAATTTTTTTTTTTTGGTGGAGACAGAGTCTCACTATATTGTCTAGGCTAGTCTCAAACTCCCAGGCTCAAGCAGTCCTTCCACCTGGGTCTCCCAAAGTGTTGGAATTACAAGTGTGAGCCACTGCACCTGATTCTTCCAGTAAATATTTAATACCTCCCTTATTTATGTATTTATGTTTGTATGTATGACCATATGCATGTATGTATTTATCGCCAGGGACTGTACTAAGCTTAGAGGGCCCAAAAAGAATTAAGAGTTTCTTAAATAGCAGATATCTTTTAGTGAAAATGTTCTTTCCTCTCTTCTTTCTCCTACCTTGTAATCTGGCTTTTTTGTTTGTTTTTTAAGAGCGACAGAATCTCTCTCTGTTGCCCGGGCTGGTCTTGAATTCCTGAGCTCAAGCAATCCTCCCACTCTGGCCTCCCAAAGTGCTGGGATTACAGGCATGAGCCACCATGCCTGGCCAAGAATCTGGTTATTTTTATAGTTTTCCCTCATCAGACCTTTATCTACTCAATTTAATATAATCTGAATATATTCATCTTCTCAGATGCAAAACAGTCATGAACAACTGGGATCTCTGAGGCCCACAGTCTTAAGAGAAAGAAAGTAGGAGAATGTTGAGAATTGTATCTGGAAAACCTCAAAACGCTGCTGTCTGATAAAATCTACTGGGACCTCACACTTCTGAAATGAAGGGGGCATCTGCGGTGCCCACCATAAGGTTCAGGTCCAAGCCAGGAGTGTACAGGGAGTGTCCAGGCTGTCCTGAGAGAATGGAGGCCTGAGCTCACATCTTCACAGAAAATGCTGGAATAGTAGATCTGTCAGAGACCTTCAAAGTTATCTGATACAAACCTTGCATATTACAGATGAGGAAATGAAACTCTAGAAAGACAAAGTGACTTGAGCTCAAACATTTTTGGACCACAGTTCTAACTCTTTTGAGGAGCGGGAACTGAGCCTAGGCCCTGACTCCCAATTGCATCTAAGCTGCTGCCAGGATCCTGACTGCTTAAGAAATATCCTTAGCACTTTAGTTTAAAAGCACCATCAATACGCAATTTTAAGTGCATTCCAGAAACAGAATAACTACTTCTGAAAAGTTATGTTGTGAAAAGATGTTGGAATGTTGTTTGATATTCTCTATTAAACAATTTTCATCTTTGCTTTGGCCTTTGGTAATTAATTTTTCCTCTTTCATACAACCTAAATAAGATTGGTTTTTGTCAGAAATAGGTATGTTTCCTTTTATAAACACAAAATACCAATATGTGTAACCTTCAGAGTTACATTATAAAGCTACAACTTTGGGTCATATTGCTTTAAGCCAATAAAAATGCCTAGGACACAAAATTATATGTATCTTTGCTTCTACTGGGAAACTACATGATTAAGAAAAAACACGAGTAAATTTATTGAAGATAACTGTATTTCCCATAATGTCATTTTATTTTATAATTTTAAAATGTTAGGCCAGCCAGGCCCAGCAGCTCATACCTGTAATCTCTACTCTGCCTACCAGCACTTTGAGAGGCAGAGTCAGGAGGATGACACGAGCCCAGGAGTTTGAGACCAGCCTAGGCAACATGGCAAGCTCTCATCTCTACAAAAATATTTCAAAAAAATTAGCCAGGTATGGCAGTACACACCTGTAGTCCCAGATACTTAGGAGGGTGTAGTGGAAAGATCAACTGAACTCAGGAGGTCGAGACTGTAGTAAGCCACGATCATGCCACTGCACTCCAGCCTGGACGACAGAGTAATACCCCTAACTCAAATAAGTAAATAAATAAAATGAGGTGTAATTAGAAAAAAAAATAAGCAAGGGTCTTTTCAGTGATTTAGGTTAGAAGAATGGTCCATCCATGGGTGACAGAGTGAGACCCCGACTCAAATAAATCAGTGAAATATTAAGTCTAATTAGAAAAAAAAAAAGCAAGGGTCTTTTGAGTAATTTAACCTGGAAAAATGGTCCTGCGTCAATTTTTAGAATGTCAGAATCTGCCAAAAACTTGGAAAGTTTAAGCTAAAGGAGCTAAATTAGTGTTTGTCCTGCTTCCTTCTAGTCTGCTCTCTGTTGCTGCGTCATCAGTGTCTCTCAGAAGGGTTGCAGTCTTTTTGTTCTATTTGTTTTATTATGGCTTAGGTTGCGTGGCTTCCCCACCTCCCACTCCCACGTGGATACTTATGCTTGCTTACTTGTTTAAGCACTGATGCACAGCAGCTATGGAGGAAATTGGCAAGGAACTTGTGCCAACTTAGTACTTTATCTTTATGGCCAAGCCCACCTGGGAAGGAAACAGCAGGTTGCACACATGACGAGAACTATGAGAAGTGTCTTTATAGAGAGGCAGCAGCAGTCACACATTTATTGGTTGGGTCAACAGCTTCTGGCAAACTCTCCATGTGGGTTTGTTTTTGTCTTTTATCTAGACTTGTGTTTGCTCAAACCGATTTTTGGTGCAAAGGGGTATTCATGATGCCTTTGTAAAAAAATTTGCTGAAGAAATGAAGAAAAACCTGCATGTAGGTAATGGATTTGAGGAAGGAACTACTCAAGGCCCATTAATTAACGAAAAAGCAGTAGAAAAGGTAAGCTCATTTTATTTTCTGTTAAAGTAAATTTCATGATTTTGATATCAAAATTTCAGTTAGCAAAAAATATTCCTCGAAGCCAGGCTCAGTGGCTCAGCCTGTAATCCTGCGCCTTTGGGAGGCTGAGGTGAGTGGATTGCCTGAGCCCGCGGGTTCGAGACCTGCCTGGGCAGCGAGACCTCATCTCTACAATAAATCAAAAAAATCAGCCGAGCGTGGTAGTGCATGCACATCCTGTAATTCCGGCTACTTGGAAGGCTGAGGCGGAAGGATCACCGGAGTCCAGCAGTTCAAGGCTGTGGTGGCCAGGAGCGGCCACTGCCCTCCAGTCTGGACGACAGAGTGAGACTCCAACTCAAAAAACAAAACAAAAAAATATTCCTCAGGAATATGGAGGACAGGAAGAGATTGGTTAACAGATATAAAATTACAGCTGGATAGGAAGAAAAATTCTGGTATTCTGTAGCACTATAGGGTGACTATAACTAGCAGCAATTGTTGCATATTTTCAAATAGCTAGAAGAGTAGATTTTGAGTGTTCCCAACACAAAGAAGTGATAAATGTTGTTGATGGATATGCTTAATGCCCTGATTTGATCATTACCCTTTATATACATGTATTGAAATATCACACTGTACCCATAAATAGGTACACTTATTATGTACCAATTAAAAATAATAATAAAAGCAAAATAAATGACATCGAAAGATTTTAAAAAGTGAAAACAAACAAAAAAGCCACTTTGGCAAAGTGGCCAGTACTTTGAACTCCTTTCAAGAAGGATGTGTTTTGTTTGTTGGAAAAAAAAAAAGTGCCTCTAGATTACAAACTAAATGAGATTCCTCTCCTTGTTCTACTGGTTTTTTGGAGTCACGAAGAACTTTCCTATAATACTAAATATCCAGGATGTTCCCTAGATAAGACTGTACTAATGAAAAGAATTTTAACTGAATGTTTTAAATCAGGTAGACAGTAGAAGCTGGAGAGGGACACGCAGTGAAGGTACAGACAGCCCTGAGTGAACCTGAGGAGTCAGCATCAAGTAGAGCCAAGTCGGTATTCACCACGGGAAAGCACCTGTTCCTCAGCCCCCTGAAAGTCCGAGGGTCAAACTGTGACCCCATGGCTGCCCCAACCCAGTGGGCCATCAATTCAGCTGAATCCACACCTATGGCCTTGGAAACCCAGGAAGGCATCGAAGTCTGACAGAGTTTTAATAAATTTCTAGTTATTGCCTTAGGATTGCTCTAGGTAGAGAAAATACATTAAAATGCATGAGTACCACCTGCATTTTAGGATCCTGGTGATAAACGAGGGGTGCTTGCTCGTCTACTGAAGGCAATTTGGGGCTATATCAACTCTGGTTCAAGTCTCAGAGTAATGGTTATTAACCCACATCATATTTTAACCCAATTTCAGATGCCTAGATCCCATCCAGGGAGATTGGTTGTTAATTCATCTGGAGTAGGGCCTAGGCATTGGCATTTTTCAAGTGCCCCAGACGATGCTAGTTTGTAGCCAGGCTGGGAAACCATGCTGTCTTGGAGTTTTTTTCCCCCCCAAAGTGAAGATGCAGGCATTGCCCTCTAGATGGCGCTATATGCTAGGACTTCAAGCACACTTGCAGGCTTTTTTTTTGGTGGAGTTTGGTAGAAACTACTTTGTTTAAAAGCAATCCATTGTGTTGACGTTAATGTATATGCTGTCATAGAGTGGGTTCCAGGGAAGAAACAACACATCACATTAATAAGACAGGAAAAAGAGCAGATTTTATTTGGGGGAAAGAGGGTAGGCCCCTGTTAAGTAAGTTAAGTCGAATTATTTTTGAAATGTAAATTGTAGCTGGGCCAGGTGGCTCAGCCTGTAATCCTGCGCTTTGGGAGGCCGAGGTGAGTGGATTGCCTGAGCCCCCGGGTTCGAGACCCACCTGGGCAACTTGACGAGAC